TACAACATCATCATTACAATCTCCAGTCTTGACTCTTTGAGCCTGCTACTGCAGTTATTGGGCCAATACCTGTGACTGAGTGTCTCCTTCATCTAGCTAGACTTCTGTTTCACCAAATATTATGTCCATCTCCAGCAATTGCCTGGTGATATGTCTAAAGCACGTAAGACAGACAGTGCGCAGTTCTTATTCATAGGTTTTCATTGGCTAATTTGTTCAAAATAAATCGTTGGGCCTTTCTGGAAAGTCTGAAAGCTTAGGTATTTTAAAATCCTCAGAAATGTATTTCATCACCTACCGTTGCCCTTAAATCGAGCAAACAGTTCTGCACCACTAGTTTACTCCTAAGAATCAGCGCTCTGACTTCTGAGCTCACCGTATAGTTATGTTCTCTGGGTTTGCGTTGATCAACTACACATTGCTTAAAAGTTAGGCAATTTTACCCGAGAAGCTTAGTATTATTGTTTTTAATTCTAAAAATACTGTAGGGGGGGGAGAGAAAATATGTATATATGATGAACAATTATCCATAAGACCATTTTGGCCATTATCATAATTTTAGTATAGTTCCTTCCACTTTTCACCCATGTAAAATTTTGCATAGTTGAGAACAGGTTGACTTGCAATTTGAATGATGCTATTTTCATTTCGGCTCCCATTACTGATACAACATGGTGAAAAGCTTTTGAACAGTTGACTGTCTTATTCTACAGATACAGTCACTAGGCCTTTGTTTCTTACACCCCCCACCTTTTCTAAATGATAATATAGAGGCATGTAAATCTCTGTCCATATTTGGTTGAGAACTTAATTCAGTTGATTTCGACTGCTGCGTTGCTTTCAAGGAGGAAAAAAAAGGCCAAGTCGGAGTGGCCTGAGAGGATGGCTGTGTTTATTGATTTACTACTGTTGTTGTCACACCGATTTAAAGTCTAACTGAGAAGGAAAACGACACAGACAAAGAGAGTGGCCTTGTCCCCGGCGGTACTGCCACTTGGGGGTGGAGCTGGGAACCTCACGTCGCCTTCACCGCTTTACTGTCAAATAAAACACAAGCTCACTGCCACCCACTCATCGCGACGCTCAGGACAGAGTGGAACTGCCCCGTTCCGGGTGGCAAGGCCGTTACGGAGCAGACGCTCATCTTTTCCCACGGTGCTGGGGGGTTTCTAATGGCGGCGGGGTCAGCAGCCCACCCCATAATCCACTCGCCCACTGGGGCTCTGTGCAACTCTGCGCTTCCCTGACCTGAAATTATACCCGGAGTGTGTGTGGGGGGGTGGGGGGGTGGGGACAGGAGACTCCCCCAGGAAACTAACAGAACCATCAAGCGCCTCCAGGTGCCTGACTCCCCCTCCTTTGTCTCCCGGTCAACAAGCGGTAGCCATCTCTCAAATGCCCGCGCCAGATGCACCTTTGCCTTGCCAACCAAACCAACCCTTTTGTTTCTGTTTTGCTTTGTGTCTGGACGGATTCTTAGCACCTCATTCCGCAAGACTGGCACCAGCAGAAATGCAGTCCCAAAGGACCCCTGGGAGGAAGCGAGGCCGACCCCCACTTCACCCTGCACCCCCGAAGATGCCAGTTCATAACCTTTATCCCGCCGCGCCTTGTTGCTTGCCAGCAGGGAAGACCCCAAAGAAAAGAGGGCGGAAGCCGGGGTACAAGGTATGCCTCTCGCATCTGCTTCCTTTCTCCACTGTGGACAGGGCGGGGACACGGGAGATCGGGCAGGGACAACAGCGCGATGCTCGTTGGGAGTTGGGTGCGGAGAGAATGAACAATAACGTTCCCTCCAGGAGGCACCGGGCAAGGCCTCCTTGGTACAAAATGGCCCATAAATAATCAAAGCGATCGCGTGCACTTTTACAAGAGAGCACGTGGCTCTCCCTCCGCTGGGGAACATTAGGAGGCGGGCTTTCCCGTCCTGTCCCTACCAAGATGGAGCGGGAAGCCACCTTCCAACCTCAGCCAGAACCACTTCTCCCATCCGAGTACTAACCAGGCCCGAGCCTGCTTAGCTTCCGAGATCAGAGGAGATGGGGCGCGCTCAGGTGGGATGGCGTGGACAGCCATCACTTCTTTGAGTGGAAGCAGATGATGTTCCTTGGGCCCTTTAATGATTAGTAACACAAGCAGGTCGGTGTCTGAGGACACAGAAGAGTTTTCCCAAACCTAGGCACACGCAGGAGATGCACAGCGAAACTCGGATGTTAATTCAAGTGTGCCCCGCCCCCCCCCACGCTTATACAAATTTGGCTGCGAGGAGGCAGCCACAGGGATAATGAAAATCCTGTGATCCCTTTAAGAATGAACAATGATTGGGAGGCACTGGGGTGGAGACGGAACCCTCAGCTGTAACCTCAGGCCTGGAAACCAACCGGCAGCAGATGGGGGAGGGCCTCCTCCAAGAGGTACTTGCAGAGGCTGCTGGGGAGGAAGGGGTATTAAGCTTGTTCTCCTCAGGCCTTTCGGGCAGAATGAGCTCCCGAAGGGTTCCTTCCTTTGTTTGCCCTGAGAGAAAGGGCCTGTGTTTCCACTGGAGATCTGCATCCTCAAACCAAAATGCAAATTGGCAATTAACTCCCCTGTATTGGGGGAAATGTATGGAAATGATTTCAGGTTAGCAGAAAGACAGAGCTTCCGGAAGAGTTGGTCATGAATTCAGCAGTTAGTTACCCCTTGGGCTGGCCACCATTCTTCCCAATGCTGGGAAATGGGAAGGGTGGGGGGCGGGGAAAGTTGCTCAAAGTTATTTGGGGTCACTGGTTTCCATAAAAGAAGCTTTTTCTTAGCCATCCCATGAGGTAAAGTTGTCAGGCACCGACTACGCCTCTGACAACGAGAACCTCCTTTTGCTCATGGCCTGTGGGCTTCTGTGACAGGTCTCTTTCTCAGGGCAGGCCTCGTCACTCGGCTACCTACGTGGTTGGTGGGGGTTTGGGAATTGCAGTTGGATGGCCGAGCAGGGTAACCCTTCCAGGTACAGATTCAGGGAGCAAATCCAGGATTCTGAAGAAACACACTGCAACCTTCTCCCCCCGTCTGGCCTTTCTCCTACTCCCCTGGGAGCTGTGACCCAAGAATGAAAATTACCAACAGACACAGCATTTACAGGGCCAGGAAAAATGGAAATTCATTCCATGGAAGGAACCTGACTTTGCAATTTTCCCATTTCCTAATGAGGGCCGTTTTTCAGTGCATGTAGGACACAGGGACACTTCAGGTCAGGAGGAAAACTTTTGGGACGGGTTGGCTGCTGCTTCAGGCCGGGCACAAAGGAAGCAGGTCTCATGTCTGCTGCACCCCTGTCTTTTCTGGGGGCCATAGGCCACAGCTCTTCCTTGAACTGTCTTCTTAAGTGCTAGCTGACCTCCAGCTTCCAAGAGCCACCTAACTCCTCATGGAGCCAGCTAGCTCCTGACCATGGGCTTAGTCTTCCCAGACGGTTCTGCACGATGTGCACACCCATCCACCTTGAGCTGAGAAAATAAGAACACTTAGAAAGTGCTCATAAGCCTCAAATGAATCTATGCTTTATCCCGAAACATCTTCCTACTCTTCGGGTGTTAATGGATTCTTGGTTTTCCTAAATATCTTATGCTTGTAGAATTTGGTCATTTAAAAATGTTGGCAACCTATTAAATCTTCTCAGTGGTAATATGGATATGTCCTAGATCCTGAACCCCTCATTCCCATGAATGGCAAGAGTTGTCATTGTTGGGAAGTCAGCATCCCACTTTCCCAATGGCCCGATTTGGCCAGGGTGGCTCTCTAGGGTACAGCTGGGGAGCCAGAAGTAGGAGAATAAAAATATTGATCAAACAAAATAAAGTATTACTGGTCTAGCCTTAAGTAGTTTTGCTTTCTATTCCTAAGAAAGTATTTTCGAACTCTTTGTCAGAGTCTATTGACTTTATTACAAGGTTAACTATAGCAGTTTGGTTAGGTTGATTTGAAGGAGAAGGAAATAGAAGATTTCACACAGCGCAACACTGAGAGGAAAATTGTTATAATTACATAATATGGTAGCACAGAGCAATGAGGTGCTTTAACAATAATGTGACCAATATCGAAAGATAATTTATATAGGAGAAGTCCAAGCGTGTCGGAGTGGGCTTCCAGTTCACACAGGCATGAGTTTATTCTAAACAAAGTGTGTTTAAGCATGTCCTTGTGATCAGTGGGGGCGCAGACAAGTTCTCTCACTAATGCACTTGTCTTTGTCTTGTTAGAGTGCCTTCCAAGAAAAAGAAAAGTTCAATCGCAGCAGTAGCTTCTCCGGCATCTGCTGGGACAGCTCTGTTCAAAGCAGAGGTCAGCTCAGATTATGATGATTATGCTCACAAATCGAAAATGACTTCACTGAAAGGACTATCCTTTATCTTGAAATATATCCTTCCTATTACTTTTTTCCCCTTTTCTTTTTTGGATGTCCAAGCGGCAATCTTCATAGATTTTCTTGAATATCACAGGGCAGTCACGGGGCTTTATTATGAAGACATTGGATAGGAAAAGATCATGAAAGTTGCCCTGAGGATTATTCGCCACCCACCACCCCCAACCTCATCACAACAAGGTACCTGCTCGGACTTTGAGAGTACGAAGAGCTGTCTGAGGAAAACTTCCTTGGGAAACCTTACCCCATCCACCCTCCAGCCCTGTGATCTTGCCCCCTCAGACTTCTTTTTCTTCCCCAAACTCTAAGCATATTTAAAGGAAACATGATTTGAGTTAGGTCAAGAAGGCCCAAACTATTGATTCGACGTGGTATAAATTGAAGAGGTCAGAATCCTCTAGGGATGGGCTAGAGGGATGGGAACCCCACCTTCAGAAATGGATCGACCAAGATGAAGCAGATGTTTAGAAACAACAGCTTTGAATTTTGGTGCTTTTGTTTACTAACGGTTTTTATGATCTTATAGCGATCTTTTTGGACTGACCCTTGTAACTTTGTTGTAGTTAGTTGCTGATGAGTGGATTCCAGCTCATGTGGGCAAAATAGAACTGTGTCTCCCAGGATTGGCCAACCTGTGGTCTCTGAGTAGCAGATCACCAGGGCTGTTTTGAGACTCTGGTTGGTGAGTTTGAACTGCCACACTTTGGGCCAGTGGTCAAGCACTTAACAATTTGCACCAATCTGGGACTCCATCCATAAATCCTATCATGATTATATGTGTAATGAAATGGTCAATTCTTGGGCCTCGGCAGCTGTTTCCATGGGAGAGTCAAGGGCACCAGGTTGTGCTGACTCTGCTACCGGTCTAAGCTGGTTAATAGTTGTCACTTCCTGCCTGGTGCTGCCCCCCGATTCTCTGTCAATCATCTCTCTGCCTCTCCACACTGGGAAACTCTGGCCAAAAGGACTCTTCTTTAAGGCCCAAGTATGGTTAACAGAGATGGTCACATTCAGTCATTTTTTTGGGCCTTGAAGGTGCCCTGGTGGCAGTGTCAGCTAAGCATTGAACTATAAACCTCAAGGTTCAAATCCACCAACCCATCTGTGGGAAAGAATTCAAAACCAAACTCACTGCTACCAAGTTGCTTCATATTCATCGACTTACACCTTGGACTGTTAACAAGGTCAACAGCTCAACCCCATCAGAGGCTTTCTGCCCCCACGAAGGTTTACAGCCGTGGAAATTCAAAAGGGTGGTTCTACTCCATCCTATAGTGTTGCTGTGGGAGAAAGGCTATCTGCTTTGGTAAAGATTTATAGTCTCAGAAACCCTATAAAGCAGCAGTTCTCAACCTATGGGTCACAACCCCTTTGGAGGTCAAATGACCCTTTCACAGGGGTTGCCTAAGAGCATTGGGAAACACATATTTTCAATGGTCTTAGGAACCAAGGCCATTGAATGGTCTTAGGAACCAAGACACGGCTCCTCTATCCATCTCCAGGCGGGGCCACCCACAGATGAGTACCCAGCATGAAGACTGTTCCCCATGCTACACCATGCTTCAAGACAAAATTTCATTTATTTGTCATTAGAAATAAATATTTCACAATATAGGATTACATATTGTTTTTGTGATTCATCACCCTGCTTTCATGATGTTCCATTTGTAACAATGTAATACATCCTGCAGATCAGATATTTACATGACGATTCATAACAGTGGAAAAATGACAGTGATGGAGTAGCAATGAAAATAATGGTATGGTGGGGTCACCCCACCTGAGGACTGTCTGACAGGGTCGCGCCCCGAGGAAGGCGGAGGACCGCTGCTATACAAGGTCACGAGCCATTGGAATCAACTGGATGGCAATGGGTTTTGAGCCTTGAGGAAAACTTGGTGAATTAAAGGCAACGAATAAATGTCAGATGTCAGTGTCTTGGAATTCATGGACCACGCCCCTCCAAGGGGGGCAGAAGGCCAGCTCTGAGCCCCGTGGTGTAGTGGTGGCTGTTGGTCTGCGTTCTATAAGGTCAGCAGTTCAAAAGCACCAGCCACTGAATGGGAGAAAGATGGGACTTTCTACTCCCATAAAGAGTTACAGTGTGGGGAACTCACAGGGCAAGGTAGACCTGCAGGGTCGCTGTGAGTTGACCTTGACTTGAGGACCGTGCGTTTTGGAGTCTCAAGTGCACAGATGCCGTGCGGGCCATCTTCTCTCCTGTGAGAACATCACATTTGTGGCCTTCTGGACCCTCTCACCTGAGTCA